AGACAGCAAGAAAGAGAGAAGGAAAAGAAAACATGAAATCCTTACAGCTTCAGCTTTGCATATTAAATATCACACCCATCTCCTGACTGGCAGGGAAGACTCACGATGCCAAATCTGACACCTTTTAACATAGTTATTTGCTCTATTAACCTAGCAACTAAAATATCATATAAAAATGCACGCTAGCCAAAATTCCCACATTTTGTGCTGCAAAGTGTTATCAGTATATGCAAGATTCATGTAAGGTGCCCATTACAGTGAAATCAGAATGCCAATTTATGCGATGGATAAAACACCGACTGGAGTGCTGCCACAGAAAATTGCTAGAAAAAAGCCCCCGAAAAACCCGGTGAAACGCAAATTACACCATCAGTGCCTGCCATGCTTGTTTACACCTGACAAATTATGAGGCAGATCTTCAATCGATACACAAGTCCCGCTGTATCACGATGTGTTCACTCAGTCATGCAAAACATCAAGGCAACAAGTTAGGTGGCTTAAAATACTGGATTTCTGCTTATACAGTTAATTAAGTCCCAAACACAACGTGCACTCTTCCTGCAATCTCAGCAGCTGGCTTCGGTCGTGAGATGGTAAAACACACCGGCATGTTTTGTATGAGATTCCCTGGAGAAAGAGCCGCTAACCTCTTGGTGCTCAGGATCTCGGCAGAACCTTCCAGAGCTGGAGCAGCCAGCAATGCCGATCCTGCTGTCGACGGCACCAGGGAAAAGCCAGACGAGTCACAGAAACCGTCCAACACTGAAAATACCCCAAATGCTTTGCACATACCCAAAATCATCTGCATGCAGGAAGGACAACAGGCAGACTGGGCTGACAGCAACTCACTAATTTAGTATCCCTCCAAATATTTTGAGAGCATGCCAGCATCACAAAAACACAAAAGTTTGTTTGTTATTTTAAGACAACATTATCAGCTGATCCTGAGCACAATAAAGACACTACGTGTGAACAGAGAAGTGGTTTACCCCTTTATGTAATGCTAAGCCAATGCAGAACGCACATATAAATCAAATTTGCTTTTAAGGGAATGGTATAGTTGGAATTTTTTTTTTTTTTTTTAAAAAAGATTGCTAGTTTATGACTTCAGTTACCTAACTGCAACCCCACAAATACCACACAGAGTTATACAGATGAAACTGGGGCCGGCGGGGGGACATTCAGCTTACGGACTCCCACCACAGCTGCATACCAGCACGAGAATGCTTTTACTCTTGTACCTTGGCTGTAAACCTTGGCCCTGATCCTGACAGCAGCTCTGACGGCCTGAAAGGCGGCTCTGTTTCCTCTCTGCTCATCATAGTAGTTTTGAACAACAATCAACTACTACAAGCAACTTCCAAGAACAATTTTCTAACAGTGGAGAGAGAAAGTTGACATACACACACACACACACAAAAAATTCCAAGTCCTGCCTTTGATCAAACTTACTCAGGTTTATCCCGCTAATTGCGAACAGTGCTAATATTCAAAAGAAAAGGACTATAAGAACTGCAACGGTAAGATTTTTGTATTGCACCTACAACATGCATTTGTCAATACACACACACAGAGCCTCCACGGCCACATAAACAAGCAATTCTGCAAGGCTTTTTATATGTACAGAGACCTTCACAACTTAAATAGAATCATAGAATTGTTTGGGTTGGAAAAAAACTTTAAGATCAAGTCCAACCCTTACCCTAACCCTGCCATCCCACCACTAAACCCTGGCCCTAAGCACCACATCTGCCCGGCTTTTAAATCACTTCAGGGATAGGGACTGGACCCCTTCCCTGGGCAGCCCCTTCCAGTGCCTGACAACTCTTTCAGGGAAGAAATTTTTCCTAATGTCCAACCTAAATACCAGCAACATTCAACAGAACCAACTCCTCTCTCTTTCAAAAAGGTCTGGAAATGGCAACCTGCCCCAAATACTTCATAAAACACTGGTGACAACACCTGGTATAACGAAACCTTCACTGATGGTTAAGAATACAATTCTACAAGTTAATGGCATTTTTCCTTTAGCTTTCCTTTAATAAGCATTATAAACAAAATCCTTCAGTAACGTGAAACGAAACAATAAAGCTCTTCTACGCAATAAGAAATAATTACTGATAAGAAATTCACACCTCACCAAGTTGGGGTGTATATTAATTGCAGACAATTAAATCCAAACAGCGCCTATGAAAGGAGGTTACAAGTTATCGCAGAGCAGCCTTTAAAAAAATTATAGGGAGACACTACAAATCCACCAAAACTTTCAAGCATTGCTATACTACGACAAGCCCCTGTTTCCAGTTGGAAATACCCCAAGGTACAAAGTTGTGAGCGGAAATCAGCACAGCCACAACATTACTGCCCTCCCTCAAAAGGCAGTGGGCTGCAAGGTCCCTCTATTCATCAGCACAAATTTGGTTTTGGTTTAATTTGCATGCGGATCGTTCATAACTGCATTACTACAAAAACGGGGGGGGGTTTGAGACTCTATAAAATCTCAGCCAAGGTACTACGAAGATCTGCACAAGTGGGTCCTGCTCCCCAACGCTTCCTCTTTCATCTAATACAGACGAGGCAGCTCCAAACACGAGAGAAAAACTTGGCAAAGGCGACATTTTGAAAGGGAGCAAAGGGGAAGAGAGCATTCTGGGTAGTTCAAGTTTAGTTCCAAGACGTGTTTTTATAGAAATGCCGTGTTAAATGTAGCGGACAGCTGAATCCTGTCATTCAAAGCACACGGAGCATCAGAAATATGTTAAGTCACCTACACAACACACATTCATTAGCTAACCGGCAGCTGCAAGACTCGCCACTGCTAATGGCTACCAGGACCCTTTTCATTCCCAAACTCTTCATAAAAATATATAATCAACTTTCCCTAGGCAAACTGTGCACTGGGAGGAGTTACGTATTTACAAACAAAGGCTTCTACGCCTCTACAATGTGCTCAAAGAGGACAATTCTCCTTTTCCCCCGATAAAAACACAGCCTGTAAACAAACTGCTCTGTGTTATCATTACAAGCAAATTACTTTAGATTATGGGATGTTCCACAAGCAACAAAAACTTCGGAGACATCTCCAAGCAAGTTTTAAGCTTAAGTGGCGACGACGCTGAATAAGGCAGCTTTAATCCGCGTCGAGCACAGCTACGCGTTCAGAGCTTCCTTGCTCTTATTCAATATTCCTCTAAAAATAACAGACAACATTAAAAAATTAAGTCGGCACAAGATGCACGTTTCAAAAAGTTCCATCGTGAACCAGAAGAGCATTGGGGTAGGGTGGATTTTTTTTGAAAGTTAGACTGGAAATTAAAGCACAGCCATTGTTTGAGAGCTGCGTGGCCTACAAGAACTTTTAGCATTAAACCTTGTGTTTTCCTGAAAATCTGGGGAGACGCAGCAGGAAGTGGGTAAATTGATCACCCACCAAACTGCTTCAACCAGCATTAAAACATCGTAAGATAAATGCTACCCCCTTACCCCACCTCCCTCGCTCTTAATAAAGGAAATTCCTTACTCATGATCTGTCGAATAAAACCTTCGCTCAGAACAAAGTTATTAAACATTGACCAAAAAAAAAAAAAAAATTGAATATTTATCAGGTTGGGGCAAGAGACAGACTCTCAAGACTACAAGTGTGCAATTAAAAAGGGCCAAACGCTGTTATTATGCGAAAACGAGAGAAAAACAAGGGAAAAAAACCCACACAAACACAAAACCCCCGGGGTCACCCAGCACATCAAAAAGTATTGTCTGCATTTGCCTTCCCTCCCGTTTGCGAGGCACCGTCCCTCTCCGCTGCCGGGGACA